AAAGAAAGAAAGACAGCCCTGGTCTCAACAGGGCTCAGAGGGGGCAGTCCTGGGCAGCCCTGGGCTGGCCTCCTGTGAAACTTACTGGAGATTCCCTGCTGGGCTAAGCTTTGTCGGGCCCCTTTGCTGGCTGAGCCCTGGGAAACTCCCACCCCGGTCCCACTTCGGCATCTCACCTGCCGTCTTCCTTCCCCTCAGAGATGCCCTTCCCAAGTCTGGAGGCTCCTTCCCCTGAGAGCTGCTGAGGTGGGTGCTGTCCCAGGTGCTGTCCTGGGCCCAAGGCCCTGGGGTCCCGCCAATTAACTGGCGTTTCCCTGTCTCCCTGCAGAAGGATATGGCCCTGAAGCCACATGAGCGGAAGGAGAAGTGGGAGCGTCGCCTCATCAAGAAGCCCCGGGAGTCGGAAACCTGCCCCCCTGCGGAGCCGAGTGAGAACAGGCGGCCCCTGGAGGCAGGCAGCCCCGGGCAGGACCTCGAGCCCGCCTGCGATGGGGCGAGGAAGGTCCCACTGCAACCCTCCAAGCAGGTGAGCAGGTCCCTCCCCGACCGGGAGCTCTGCGTCGGGTCAGTGCTCACCGCCCCGGGGCCACGCCAGCACCTGGACACCACCCCATGTGGCCCCCGGGCCTGCCTGGCAGCGTGTCCATCGTTGTCAGGCTTGGGGTGCAGGACACGTGGACAGGGCTGGGCTGAGCAGAGGCAGGAGCCCGCTGGGTCACGGAGGGGTCGTGACGTGCCTAGGGCCACAGCAGGAGAGGTACCTATCTGGGGCAGCAAGGTGCGCGTGCCGGGCTGGGGCGCCAAACTGATAGGCCGGCCCCGTTTCCCTGCCGTGTCCATCAGGCTCCGCCGACTACAGGTGTCCAGCGTGTCTATAAGGAGGGGTCCAGGCGCATTGCCGAGGGCTGTCCTGTCCACACGCAGCGCCATCTGCTCACGTGTGCGGCGTGGGGAGGGGAACGCTTGGTCCCGGCGGTGGCTGCAGGCACGTGACTGTGGTCAGTGGTCAGGTGCGTGGCCCAGCTGGGAACAGGGCTCTGCCTGCCCTGCCCAGGGGCCTCCTGCCCAGGAGGGGCTGTCAGAGCAGGTGGGGGCTTCCCTGGCGCGTGGGGCTCTGTCCTGGGTGCGGCTCAGCCTGCAGCTGCTTCCTCTGCAGGGGGTCCACTGGTGTGCGCCTTCCTTCCTTCCAGGGTGGGGCTCTGCGCGGTGTCCTCGGCTCCCCTCGGCCCCCTTGGGAATTGGGCTGCTGGAGAAGGACAGCATGCCTCCTGGGCCCGGGCTGGACGGGGGTTCCGCGGGCGGTGACACCTGCCCAGGTGGACACGTGCTCTTTCTTCCATGCAGGTGTGCTCCCCAGAAGGGGGGCCGCTCCCAGCCAGCCACTGGGACCAGAACGGCCCGGCCCAGCGCCAGCAACAGCTCCAGCCCAGCCAGCCCAGCCAGCCCCAGGGGTCCCTCCCAGCCCCGTCGGCACTCCCGGACCCCGGGCAGCCCTGCCAGCCCTCCCAGCGGCCACTCCTGGGTCAGCGCAGCTGGCCCCAGCGGTCACTTCTGGGCCTGAAACAACCCTGCCAGCCCCGGCGATCAGTTCTGGGCCCCGGTCAGCCCTGCCGGCCCCAGCGGCTCCTTCCAGGCCCAGATCAGCTCTGCCAGCCCCAACAGTCATGCCTGGCTCAGCT